CTCGGGGGCTGCGGGGAGCTGTTCGAGAGGATGAGGGGCAGCACGAGGGGCCAGGGGGCCACGTGAGGGGCCGGGGAGCAGCGCAAGGCCACGCGAGAGGCTGGGGGCCAGCGCGAGGCTGGGCGCAGCCTGTGCGCGTGTGAGGGTGACTGACACCACGTGAGACCCTCCCCAGACCCCCAGAATGGTGAGAAGGGCTCTGTGGGGCCCAAGTGGCGCTCATGTGAAAATGTGTGAAGCTGGGAGGGGACGCAGAAGGTGCTGGGTAGCCCGTGCGAGGCCACATGACACCCTGTGAACCCTGTGTGAGTCCTGCGGGAGCCCCACACAACCCGTGTGAGCCCCAGGAGCCCACACGAGCCCCTTATGAGGCGTGAGCTCTCTGAGCCCTGTGTGCCCCAAACCTGCTGGCAGAACTCCCGTGTGCCCCGTGCCAGCCCTGTGTGCCCCCGTGCCCCAAACCTGCTAGGAGAACTCCTGTGTGCCCCCTGTGCCCCCAACCTGCTGGCAGAACTCCTGCGTGACCCATATGCCCCTGCCATGGTGACAGAACTCCCATGTGCCCCGTGCCAGCCCCGTCTGCACTTAATATGATGACAGAAGTCTTGTGTGCCTCACATGCCCCATACCTGCTGCAAGAACTCCTGTGTGCCCCCTGTGCCCCATACCTGCTGGCAGAATTCCCATGTGCCCCTGTTGTACTGACAGAACTGTCATGTGCCCCATGCAAGCTCCACGTGCCCTGCATGCCCTGATGTGATAACAGAACTCCTGTGTACCCCACATGCCCCATACTTGTTGGCAGAGCTCCTGTGTGTCCCCTGTGCCCCTGCTATGGTGACAACTCCTGTGTGCCCCATGCCAGCCCTGTGTGCCCTAAGGGCACGCGTGTGCCCCTGAAGTGATGACAGAAGTCCTGTGTGCCCCACATGCCCTGTACCTGCTGGCAGAACTCCTTGATGCTGCGGCCACCCTCGAGGAACTGCTCAAAGAAGCGGCGGTGGCGCTGGAGGCAGCCCGAGGTGAGCAGCCGCAGGTAAACCACCAGGTAGTCCGAGGTTGCCGGCTCATTGAAGGCTGCCAGCAGCTCCGGCAGCGGCACACGGCGCTCCACGCGCTCGATCAGCTCCATCAGCTGGGAACGGAAACCACAGGCGTGTTTGGGGCACACACACACGTGCGTCAGGGACACGCGTACGCGTGTGCGTCACGGGGCACACACACGTGTGTCACAGGGACACACACCCAGGTCAGGGGTACGCATCCATGAGGGGCACACACACAACACACGTGTGTCAGATGCATGCACGTGTGTTGGGGGCACACACAAGGGCACATGCCAGGTCACAGGGACCCCCACCCCCCCATGTGCTCCCTGGC